AAAAATTGAGATAATCCTAAATTTTGTTCTGTGACTCATAAACTCCATAAAAAGCATTTTCTGCCTATTGAAAACAATGAGAATTATTTTATAGATTGTCATCAATGAACCCATAAAATTTGAGCTCCAAATGAGTCGATCCTTCATATTACAAAAAATTTATGGACTACTATACACAAAATTTAAGCTCAAACAAAGTCCATCACATTATTTGGCATTTCAAGGTCATGTTACCCGAATTAATAAATTTGGTGTTTTCTCATGTGTATTAGTATAATGCCAATTTTCTTAAATATATTTTGACGGACTCTGATTAACATGAAATTTAGTAGGTACATTGAAACAGACTGATAATAAATACTCATTAGTTTAGAGAATATTTTTTTAAAAAAAAATTGTTTGAGTTGTTCTCATTAGTTTAGAGAATAATTTTTCGTGTGTATCAGTACATATTATTTCTTGTAGTTAAATGTTGATTTGTGTATCAAGGTTATGGAAAATTGGGCTGTATCTCTTTAGGTTGGGCTTGGTGGGCTTTGAGTTGGGTCAGGTGGCCCAAGTAAAAACATGGGTTTTCTTGACCCCTAAAATGGAGCGGACCGCAATAAACCTTCAACTTTTTGAGAAACAAAGGAAGAAAAAAACTCATAAACTTTGTTCATCTTACCAGGTATCTCATAGTTGCAGAATGTTTTGTTTTTGCAACTGCAAAATGCTGTTTTTTGTTGGTTAAAGAGTGTTTTTTCGTATTTTTTTCTGCTGCTGTGGTGTGTGCTAAATTGAAATGTGTCTATAACATGCTGTAAGCTAATGATTTGATTGGATTGTTTTAATTGTATGAAATTTGATTTGCTTTAAGTTGATTTGAGTATGCTTTAGGGAAATGGAATAGAGGCTATTTTGCTGTTTCAATGAGTTATCTCGAATTTACATGTCGAAAATGATTAGCTAGTGAGACCAAGTTATTGAATTTTATTTATTTTGATAACAGTGGTGTTCGAGACCTCTTACCAGCAACAAGTACCAGGTAACTCTGTTCACCAAGGATAAGACAGATAGGACGAAATCACCTAGTCTTTTGGAGGGAATACCAACCTTTTGATGTTAATGGCATTGAAGATTATTCACTTGATGCTCAAGCATAGATTAACGTTCGATATGCTTATTACGTATAGGGAAGTATTCATCCAACTGTTGTGCCAAATGAGGAAAAAAGAAGTTTTTTTCAGATTTTGGTGTGCTTGCCACAGCCCATTGCTAGTACAAGTACCTAAGTTGAAGTAGATAGGTTCATATTTGAGTTGTAAAAAAAATTGAAATTCTATTCGTCTTCTCTTGATATGTGTGAAGATAATTCGCTTGATTGTATTGCTTCTATCTGAAAATGAACAAAAGAACAATGTTCTACTTTGACATATCAATAACCCAAAAGATTGAATCAGTAATTCCTGTTTGTTTGTTTTTTTTTAACTTTTTCAGATACTCGACAAGTTTTTTTTTATCTTTCTACAAGGAGGATCATGTTGCGACAATTTCATCACAAATTGTGTGATAGAACAATGATTTTTACCCGAATGTATAGTTCTAAAGAAACAATGGAAGTTAAACTTGATCCTCTAACAAGACTTTGTAAAATTATGATGTCTTGCCCAAAGGCGGGGCTTGACACGGAGCTTGACCAAAGTGGGATTAGGGTTTTACCGGAGATGGTTGAGGATGTCCTTAAGAGATTTGAGAATGCTGGAATGCTTGCGTATCGTTTCTTTGAATGGGCTGGTAAGCAACATAATTATGAGCATAGTACTAGAGCCTACCACTCCATGATTGGATCTCTTGCCAAGATAAGGCAATATCAGATGATGTGGGATCTTGTAAATGAGATGAAAACCAAGAGAATGCTTAATATTGAGACATTTTGCATAATCATGAGAAAATATGCTAGGGCTCAAAAGGTAGAGGAGACTCTATACACTTTCCATATCATGAACAAGTTCGATGTGCCTCCCAACCTAGCGGCTTTTAACGGCTTATTGAGTGCTCTATGCAAATCGAAGAATGTGGAAAAAGCTCAGGAGATTTTCGATAGTAAGAAGAATGAATTTACTCCTGATTCGAAAACATATAGCATATTGATTGAGGGGTGGGGAAGGGCTCCGAATCTTCCCAAGGCAAGAGAGGTTTACAGGGAAATGATTGAGGCTGGCTGTAATCCGGACATTGTGACTTATGGGATCATGGTCGACATACTTTGCAAGGCTGGCAGGGTTGATGAGGCTGTTGAAATTGTCAAGGAGATGGACTTCAGCGGTTGCAGGCCAACATCCTTTATTTATAGTGTTTTAGTCCATACCTATGGGCTAGAAAACCGGATTGAAGATGCGATAGATACATTCCTTGAAATGGAAAAAAATGGTGTTGAGGCTGATGTAGCTGTCTATAACTCACTAATTAGTGCTTTCTGTAAGGTAAATAAGTTCCAAAATGTCTATATGGTTCTGAATGACATGCAATTCAAGGGGGTGACTCCCAATGCAAGGACCTGCAATATTATTCTCAGTGGCTTGATTGCTCGAGGTGAGACTGATGATGCTTTCAAGGTTTTCCGCAGGATGCTCAAAATTTGTGATCCTGATGCAGACACGTATACTATGATGATAAAGATGTTTTGTGAGAAGAATGAGATGAAGATGGCTCGGAAAGTGTGGAAATATATGAAACGCAAGCAATTTGTTCCCAGCATGCATACTTTTTCTGCACTTGTCAATGGATTGTGCGACGATGCAGATGCCCCTGGTGCCTGTGTGTTGATGGAAGAGATGATAGAGAAAGGAATGCGCCCTGGTAGGATGACATTTGAAAAATTAAGGAAACTACTTCTCAAGGAAGAGAGAGAAGATGTACTTGAATTCCTTCAGGAGAAACTAAATCTTATGGTCAGGGAGCCCTTATCTGATTAAGAAACCATTTAGATGACATATTTCTGATGATTCGTGATCATAATCTGCTGTTGTTGAATCTGATCTCTAGAGTCAGAATATCCAAGTGTCTCGTACTGTTTCAGCAACGGATAAAGATATACAGGTCACATAACAATTGAGCTTGCTAAGGACTTAACTTCATCAGTGAGACTCATTTGGAACACACAGCAAATTTTTTACGTTGGAAAAGTGAGTCAGTCCTTGTTAAATACTGGAGTTTGGAAATGGTGTAGAACACAGTTATCTTGTTTAAACGTGGTTTTCTCTAACTTCAATACTTCTTCTGGACGCGGTTAGTTCCTTTCCGTTTTCAGTTGATTAGTAAAAGAAACTTTAGCAAGTGAAAGATGGTCGATACAAGTGGACAAAAAGCCAAGCAGCTTTACAATCAAGGTCAGAACTCATGCAGCAATGTAAATAGTTTTGTTGTCTTCAATCTATTAGTGCATCAAAAATTAAAAAAGAAGAATCTATCTGTTACATGCATTCGTCAAGCACTGTATTTTTGGCGGGTTATTAGTTGTCCTCAGGCCTCGATGTCACTTCTCTGTGCGTGCTCTCTCTGTGTTGTGCTTATGGGGGGAAAAGGGACCATCTTGTTTGATGTCTAGTTAAGACTGGGACATTAGAAATGAAGCTTCATCTACAATTAATGTATTTGTTTTGACCAGTCTATAATTGATGTATATGTGATTCTCAATGGGGAACTCTCTTAGTTTCTTTTCTTTTCTCCTGTAGACATGTACCTGTTCACCGCTTTTTTTTAATTTGGGGGAGACATGTTGTATTTTCCCTCACCACTTCTTGTTCTACAGCCTCCCCAAACTCAGTTTCTGGGGCTGCAAACTCTGTTTTTTGCGTTTCCTTTTCGTGTATTCTCATTATTTTTCTGTCCAGGGTCCTGGATCTACATACATGAGCTGGTTTTGCTACCTCCTGGAAGGAACTAATTGAAGAGGTGAAAGAATGCTAATGCTTCATCTAAGGTATACTCCTGCTGTAATTTATTTCTTCTATAGTGTTTAAGCTATTAGAGAAAGTACACATTTATTTTCTTAATTATCTTCTCAACACATCCCTAGAATGCGAGCTTGATTCAACACGTCCCGTGAGTGCTAGCCTGATTCTTTTTTCATGGGTCAAGCATGTTATGGGAAAACTCTACAGCTTTATCCCGGTCCTCAGCATTTGCCAGATCTTCTCCTTCATTTTCTTAATTAATGAAAAATGTTTCTATTGTACTATTACATCATGCATGATAATGACGTTCTTGTCACTTGATCTTGGTTGTAATCTTTCATGTTTTTTTATCAATTTGGAAGCTGATATGTTTCTCTCCTCACATCAATCAGGATTCATGGTTGCCATGCAAGTACCTCAAAATGCAAGTTTACAAGAAGCAACACGAGCAGACACATTGCTGGACGGCCAGGTTTGAAAATGAGCTAGTTCACGACCTTCCAGAACCTTAACTCAGGGAAAGGTCACACTTGACGAGAACCATTGCCATCTCTATGCAATAAACAGTCTTGTTAACTGACTAAGAGCAGAAACGGGTGTGGCATTCATCCATTTCATCGTGAGAAAGAAACCTGCCAGTGTTCGACTTCAATGGATTCTCCAAGATAACAGACCCAGAAAATCCCAATCAGGACCTTAAGCATATATAATAAGGCGAGCTCATATGCAGGACAAGGAGGAGGATCCATTTTCTTTATGCAGCATTTACTTCTGTTTACTCGGTTATAATTTTTCATATATGAATAACCGGAAAATTTCTGAGAACCAATGGAACTTTCGATACATGATGAATGATTCCCATGTTCAATGCACTTGCATATTTCCATTTAAAAAATGACAAGGACGCAGCGTATTGAGTGGGGTATTTCTCACAACGGCCAAAGGAAAAGGAGCTCATCAATAAAGCAACTCTACACGCCATGTGGCCGGCCAGGAGAGAAGTAAAACCAACTAGACAGCAGAGAGAGAGAGAAGAGCATAAGAAGCAATCTAGAGAAGAGCTTGGGGAAATAGCATAGTAAGCAACACACATCGATATACCAACACCAATCACAGTGAAAAACAATAGATCCAGTCAAACAGTTTTACCAGCTTTCACATTAGATGACTAAAAAGAGCTATTCTGAAAAACCCTGGGAAGACAATATTGACATCCATAACAATGGTTTCTTCATGGAAGTAACCATCTAATCTCGTGCAAGTAGTTCGTGTTCAATGTACATCAAAAACCAACACACCCATCCTCAGCAGTTAGCAACTTGCACATTGAGAGTGCAAAACAGTTACACTTCCCTTTCTGTGTACCAGTAACACACAATAGAGCAATGTTGGATCTACCTCACTACATTAAAAGTGGCACTTGGTTTGGAAACCATCACTGGACACTCCCCCTTCTCATCATACTCAGCAAACTCATCTCCGGACAAATCAATGCCTTCAAATTTCGTTCCCTCAAGCTGCATTAAGTGAATCAAATTAGAAATGGCACGACATCTCCCATAACACAAAACCTAAGAATTGGGAAATGTAGCTAATAAAATTAGAGCTTTTCTTTAATATAGCTATATATAACATATCAGGAAAAAAAAGTTCTTTAAAAAATAGTCAACAAGCTTTCTCATGGGCCAATTTGGGCTAAATACTAGCCCAAATTTTGATGGCCTGAGCTAATAGATGTGTGGGCCAATAATCAGCCCAAACTTGCGCCACCTCTAGACATATAAGCCGAACATATTCTCCAAGAAGTTAATTAGGAGATACATGACCTCGTTAAAGAAATAGAAATATATTCAAAGAACCCCAACAACAGCTCAAAAACAAATGGAAAATTAATAGGGCAAAGAAATCTTATACCTAAATTTAATATTTCGACAACTTTTTTATAATAAAATTTCTCTTTAATTCTAAGAAACACTAAAGCAGAAAGCAAGGGAAGAAGCTTACAGATTTAGCTTCCCATTCTCCTCGGAAAACATAATCCAGCGGCTCAAAACCCCTGCACTCAAATAGCATCAAAGGTGCAGATTTTGCAGCTTCACTATCAGCGTGAGTCAGAGGACGGCCGCGGCCAGTGATCATGGTTATTGTACCATCCCTGCCACAGAACTTACACTGGAAGCAAAAGTCACAAAAGACTTAGTACTCAATCAAGTCTATACAGCATCAAGAGCTGTAAAATAGCAATAGGACATCAAAGGGGAAAAAGCCAAAAAAGAAGGTAACAATTAAGGCTCAAAACAGACTTCCAAGGATATCAAAGTTTTTTTTTTTTTGAAACTTGGTAATTTTGTATTATAACACAATAGTACATGGGCAGTACTAAACCTTATATACAGATGAACTCCAAAACTCCACTGTTCTAAATCTAAATTGAATCTAAAACATCAATTATAGAGACAGTTTCATTTGAGTATAATTGATTGCACCAAAAACATAACAACAAAATGCAGTTGAGTTTAACTTTCTGCATACTATTCTCTACGCTCTCAAAACACCTAGAATTTCTCTCTTTCCAGGTTGCCCACCAGATTGAAGCAGGGATAATTCTCCATCTCGTTCTGTCTTTAGCTAGCACTCCTGCCTCCTCCCAACTTTTTAGGGCTTCAATAATTCTCCTAGGCATAGCCTAGGATATGCCTTTGAGACTCAAGAATACCCTCCATAACTGTTAGAGTAAATTTGCAGTGTAGGATATCTTCCAAGGATATCAAAGTTATTCAACATATAGAGCTAAAAAACAACAGGGGGATTTACTATGGCTTAACCCATTCTGAATGTTGAAGATATCCTAATTAACTCCGTATCTCACCTCAAATTTCAGGCGGTCACAGTGATTTTAAATTCAGTGTAAACTAGCTCTGTGTCATATCTAAACTTACACATATGCAATCAGATATGCATACAGAAATGTCTGACGCAGTAGATTATATCATCACAGATAAGGAAACAGGAGGATAGGTCACCTTCTGGACAAGGTGGGTGTGGCCCTTGCCAATAGGAAGAGGAACAGTTTCAACCAAGCTCACATAAGTCTCCTTTTGGGTGATCTCACCACAATGGCCACACTTTAGCTGCACAATTTAAAGAAAAAGAACCAAGTTTAATGGACTATGAAAAAGGTATTAATGTAGGACACTAAATGGATGATTTCATCACACACAAATAATTGGCAAAATTAACTTATGGAAGCAGTACTACCTCACATGAACATACCTGAAAGGAAATTTCAGTACTACTATATGGTAGTACACATTACAAATAAAATGACAGAAGCTTTGCATGAGATGGTTTAACACTTTAAGGAGTCTTAAAATGGTAGAAGTGTCGTATAAATTAAAATCAAGTTCATGTGAGATGGTGTAACATTCCAGAATGTCTCAAAATGAAAAACACGTCATATAAATTATAACAAAGTACATAAGCTTCATTCAGTGGAAATGACCCTATAAGATAAAAGAGAAGGCATACAGTTGAAATGACCCTATAAGACAAAAGAGAAGGCATACCGTGGAAATGACCCTATAAGATAAAGAGAAGGCTGTCTTGGGATAAGAAACCTTCAACTACATAACAATAGCTACTTACAAGTTATTTGGAGAGGATATCAATCAAAATATGGACAAAGGCCATGGCACAATGGCGCAGTTATTATTTCCAATTGTTTAAGTGTTAGGAAACACATCCCAAGCTGTGGGATTTGTTTGATAGGATTTTTGCAGTTAAAGAGGGAGATGGAAGAGTACTATAGTTTTGGAAAAACGCATAACTGGATGTTTACACCATTAAAATTAAAGCTTCCGGATCTATTCAGACTCAGTAACAACTATTGTTCCAATGAGGGAAGGAAATGCATGGAACTTAGGTTTATGAAGTCTACTTTTCAATTGGAAGGTCAGCAGACTGGCTCTTTGCTTCAGAAATTGGACCAAGCCTCGTTGAGACCGGGGCAACCAACTCTATCAGTGAATAATTATATTTACTTGGAACAAAAAAACTCTTCATACAGAACACAAGCAAGATAGACAAAAAAATTCAGAAGCTAAGATGAGAGAGAGTCTTTGACAAAGAGAAATCAAGAAAATGAAGAATGGGAAGATAAAATTGGAATGAACTACCAGAAGAGCCACAAACAAAAACCTATCGTGGCACCCATCAATTAGCTCAATCACACTGAGAAATTATATAGAAGCACATTAATGAATTGCAATGGAGGTCAAAAGCCTAAGTATGCATTTTATAAACTGAACACAAGGAAATAGACAGAAAAACTGAAAAACTAAATCACAACTTTGAATAAGATAGATAGTTTGAGATGAAATTGGAATGAGACTTGAAAAATCCCTAAAAAGACACCTATGAAGCATGTTTGACTCAAGATAATCTCAATAGGAAATGTTTCCAGTTTGTATACAGGTGCTATCTATGTTTGGAAAAGATGGAAACTGTAAACCATTTGATATTGTACTGCACAGTAGCCACAGATCTGAGGCACACTTGAACTGGAGCTTATGGAGAGTTGATAAAGCCATCAAAAGGATTTGGTGGAAGATACCTGCTGCTAGGAATAGGAGGTGTTTTGATGGAATCTCAACTCCAAATCACTCACTCAAAACCAAGTGCTTACTTTATCTTTTTTTGCTGAACTAATATGACTACTGTAATTAGCACTGATCGGTGGTTGGATTTTGTAAGATCCCTCGTCTTAGATCGACACTGAAAACGGATTCATTAGTTCTTTTGTTAATGCTTTTTCCTTTCCTTGTAACTATGCATCTACTTGATGCTCTTTTGTGAGCGAAACATCTAACTTTATCAACAAAAATAAGACACCTATAGAGGCACACATATCAATTAGCTCGATAACACCAAGAGTACATTTAAAACATAGTATGATTATCACAAAATTTGAGGTGGAAACCAGAATCCTGAACATATACATGCATCTATAACAGAACACAAGGATATCGAAATGAGAAATGAGAAGAATGTGAATAAATACATAGTTTAACAATCAAAACCATGAAACTGTAGAGCAAGACGAAAAAATTGGAATGAGCTACCAGAAGAGCCATACACAACACCTACAGAGGCATGCATCAATAAACTTGAGAGATGCATACAAACGCAATAGAACAATCACAAAGTTGGAGGTCAAGAACTTAAACTCTTAAACATGCACTAATACACATTAAACAAGGAAATAGACACAAAAATTAAAAACTAAGACGCAACTAGGAATAGATTGATAGTACATGGAAAATGAAAAACAAGGTGAAATTGGACAGTGCACAAGCAGAACCCTAAAAAAGCACATACGGAGACATACATCAACTAGCTCAATTACACAGAGCATAGAGAGGGAATATAGTAATCGCAAATTAGAGATTGAAAACGTCAAACTTAAAATAACAGACAGGCATTCCTACACTGAACGTAGAGATATACAAAAATTTGAAAAGCTAAATTCAGAAATAGGAATAGACTAGATAGCTTAACAGAGAAACTTAAAAGTATCAAGCTCTAGTAAATGAAATAATGAGCTACCAGAAAATATCTAAAAGAATAGCTAAAAGGCATCATCAATTAGATCATAGATAAATCAAATAGAAAGACAGTAGAGTAATCATAAGCCTCAATGTAACATCCATACTTTATACACAGAACACAAGGAAATATGCATGACAAACGAAGAAGCTAAGTCCAACTATTAGAGGTGTTACACCCCCACCACTTCTGTTTATCTACTAGATTAGAACTTATGATTATTTACTAGATTAGCTTGATAGTATTTATCAGTTCTCATTTGAAAAATATCCTTAATGTAAGTAGCACTCGTAGGAAGTTAGTCACTTAATTCATGGATCTAAATACAGCTTCATATTCAATACAAAATCATCTTTCATTTTCTCTACAAGTTTATACATAAACTAGGAATAGTATAGACAGTTTGACAAAGAAAATCATGGAAATTAAGAAAAAAATTATGAAATTGAAATGAGCTTCCTAGAGATCCAAAATGAATAGTAGAAGGCATCCTCAGTTATAACATGAATACGAAAGTAACACACATACATATGCACACAGAACAAGGAATTAGACTCGAAAGTCATCATCAGAAGAAACATAAAACTAAGTCGCAACTAGGAACAAACAGATGTCCGACAGCGAAAATCATGAAAATGAAGAACATGGATACGAAATTGCAATGAGTTGCCTCAATACCCAAAATAACACCTAATGAGCAGAGATAATCCACTGTGTGTGTATTTACTATAGAGTCAACATCAAATAAATCAACCTTCATCGAGAAATCAGACACGCAAATGCCAGAAAATAACTACAACTTGTAAAGGCGGATACCTTAAACAAATAGTTACAAGACATCATCAGTTATTTGATCTTCGAAGGAAAGATCACATAATATCACAGTAGAATAATTGTAAACCCTATAGTAAGTAAATGAATATGAACACAGAACAAATAAAAAGACACGACATTCTGAACTTAACAAAAAAAATATTGCAACTAGGAATAAACTATAGTTCGGCATAGAAAATCACAACAATGCAGAACACGAAGATGAAATTGCACTGAGCTACCTCAACATCCCTAAAAAAAACACCTAACGAGAAGATAAAATCACTGTGTGTGCATATTTACTTGAATCAACATCACTTCGATCAATGTTCAGTGAAAATCGCATAAACATGAGTACATGACAATGCAATAAAATAACTACAAATTATAGAGTCGGATACCTTAAACAAATAGCTGTAAGGCATCATCGTTTATATAGATCTTCAAAGGATAAATCACACTTAATATAATGGTAAACCCTAAAGTAAGTAAAGGAAAATAAATAGTAACGAAATTCGAGAAGGAAAATACAAGTTGCTAGTAGGAATAAAAAATATAGTTCGTCATAAAAAATCATCAAAATGAAGAACACGAACATCAAATTGCAGTGAGCTACCTGAATATCCCTAAAAAAAACACCTAACGAGTAGATACCACTGTGTGTGTATTTACAATAGAATCAACATCAATTCGATCAATCTTCATCGAGAAATCGCACATACATCCAAATGCAATAGAATAACTGAAAATTACAGAAGCGTTTATGCGGATACCTTGAAGTGGTAACGGAAGTTTTCATCATCGCAACCTCCTTGTGGCCGAAGGTCGGTGAGGTTTTCAAGCTCCGCCTTAATTTCCAGCATGAAGTTCACCATTTTTCTTTCTGCTTGCTGCTTCGAATCAACGCTTTCTCTCTGATTCTCTCAATGCTCTCTTCTCCAGAATGACAGAATGGAAAAGGCGTGATGAGGAAAGAGAGTGATTTATAGCCTGTTATTGGAGGGTAAAAGAGTAAATTACCACATTTTGCTTCCGGTATCCGGATAGAAGCTTCCAAATCATTTAGTAGATTATTCTTGATATATAATATTATCTCCGTCCATTTTTAATTGTCATATTTCTTTTTTTTTAGAGTCAAATTATAAAAACTTTCACTAACATTTTTGATGTATTTTCTCATCATATTAATATGCAAAAAATTGCATTTTATAGTATTTTTCGTATAATTTTTTAATATTTAAGTTTTTTATTTGAAATATCGAATTAATGTAATCTAATTTAACTTTAAAAATTAGTCAAACTGTTTTTTGAAAAGTACAACATGACAAATAAATGTGGACGGATGAAGTATAAAGTTATTTTTAATGTGATCAAAGAGGTCACGAGTTCAATTCGAACTCGGTATCGAAATAGCCACTTCTAAAAATGTAAAACAAATGTATGAATATAGAATAATAGACTCTCCTGGTTTAACTTTTCTCCCAACTTTACATATAGCGAAAATTTAATACATCGAATTGGAGTACACTTTTTCCTCATTTGATATTTGCTTTGAAAACTTATTTATTTAGATTTCCACAATATAGCTAGGTTATAAATTCGAGGTATTGAAATAGTCTCTTCTGAAAATATAGAACAAATATATGAATATTATCCAAATTTTGTATATAGAACTGCAGTTTTTCCTCATTTGAGGTTTGGTTTGCTTGATGGTGCCTTATCTCTTTCTTTTCATTAGCATAATATAAGGGGTACATGATTAAAAAAATCACTTACTCTTATTATTGCTTTTCAACCTACAACTACATCAAAATTGAGCAACGTTAGTTAAACTAATCCATGAACTCCAAAACTTTTCCGTTCTTAAAATTTTATGATCACTAGATCATACACTTCAAATCCCATTCTTAAAAATAATTCAAGACAATAATCAGTGTTTAATCAAACTTTTAAAAAATGTTTCTAAATAAACACTTCTTGAAAAACATAAGTACAGTTTTAACCTTCAAAAGCATGGACAAACAGGCTAGTAAAATGTTTTTTTTTTTCAAAAGTGTCTTCCAAAAACATATCTTCGAAAAAAATAAGCATTTCTGGGCTCCCAAAAACTTTTAGTCAAACAGAGGTGTTTCTCAAGACCAGAAATAAACCAAATGCTCAGATGAAGTATAATAAATAAAATAATGAATGTTTCTTTCTCTCTATGGAAATCCCATAGATGTTACATTATTTGTTTTTTTTCCCTATAAACAAAAAATATGCAGATTCAAATTCAAAAGTCTAATTGTTAAAACCAAATATGAAACTTATATAACAAACACAGCAACTATTGGGTGGGGTGGGACTAGATCATCGATCCAATCTCCATATATTCGATATTGTTACTTGTTTTAGATGTGAGATATGACCAAAGAGAGAAATTGCATATCTAATGTAGCAAATAAGAAAAAAAGATAATATAGCCATGAGAATAACAAACAACTATTCATGCACCACGACTTTTTTAGGACTTGAATTTTTTGATTATATGACATGAACAATTTATATAAAATATTTTAGGACTTGAATTTTCTTTGAACAATTTATATAAAATATTTTAGGACTTCGAATTTTCTTTCAAATTGATTGTTAGTTATTGTCATATATTTATCGATCTTTTTGTCTATCTCATCAATCTCAAATACAATTACAAAAACAGAACAAAAATATTATTGATAAAAACATAAATAATTTTAATAACAGTAATGATGAAAAAAATTCTAAATTTAAGTGGTTACTAGTATATGTATCCGCGCATTGTGCAGATATTTTAAAATGAATAATTTTTAATTTAAAAATGACAAATATAAATTATTATTGAGTGTGTATATATATATATATATATTATTATTTTATTTTTAATTTTTAATTATTATTATTATTATTATTTTCTTTTTTTTTGGAACACTATTTTAAAAATAATATAAAGATGCATAAAATCAATTGTTTTTTAAATTATTAGAATTTTGTCCACAATGTTATGTTTAGCTCAATATATTTTGTTAATTTCAAATTATTTCTATATATATTTTTTAAAGAAAAACTTTTAATGTTGAGATTTATAAGGATAGTTACAAATCACTTATCTCTAAGAAAGAGTGTAGTTAAGATCAATAAATAGTTGCAAATCAGCTTATCTCTAAAAATAAATGCAATTAGAATATTTTTTCTATTTAATTAAGCATAAAAGATTTAAAACATCTATAAATTAATTATTAAGTAAGGATTTAGATGAAAGGGAGAGAAATTGGAGGATAGGCTAGAAGGCTATCTGCGTGAGAAAATAGGCAAATTAGGCTATTAGAACAATGTTTAAAAATATTTAATATTTAAATATTATTTCTATATAGTCATATCGCTATACTTTTAGTTTTATAATATATTATGTATTAATTTTTCTTAGGATACTAATATTATTTTACCTTCACCAAAAATAAAATACTTTAAATATTTTTATGTGTTTATCCATTATTGTTTTTATATAGTTGGAATTTAAAAGAAACTTTTTTTTGTTAATAATTTATTATTTCTAACATTCCACATGAAATGTCTAATATCATAAGATTAAATTACACATTGACATATTTAACTAATGTTTTATTCAAAATCAACATATTAAATGACATGGATATATTTAATAATTTACTATTTTTAATTTATGTAAATTATAATTAAAAATAATTTAAATGTAAAGATAATCTTAATTAATACATCTGCTATATTGGGTTTACTCAAAATGTTTTTTAGATATTATAAATTTTTATTTGAATTGTATTAGAAAAGATATGAATGTGGATTAGAAGGGTGTTATGTTGATTTGAATTCTATCCGATTAGACACATTATGTGTACCTATTGTTATCGTGAAATTCAAATATTTTAAATTTCAAATTTCAGATTTCAAATTAAAAATTGTAATTTTCAACTCAAATTAATGTTGTTATATAAATATTGTGAATAGTCTTAAATTTGCTAAATGACTTACAATTGTGATATTGTTCAAGATAGAATTTAACACTTCCTATATAAAGATAAATATTATTTATCCTAAATTCAAAACTTTAATTTATATTTCTCATAAAATTATATTGAAATTTGATTATCCTCTTAACAATTTGTTTAGAAATGGAAAGGTGATGAGAGGTTTCATAAGTGTTTATTTAAATTGTGATGGTCAATAATTCTAAATTAGTAAGGTTATAAGAAGGTGTAAGTGATGGAGTTAAAGAATGATTTTGTTAATTGAATTTTGTGTCGTAGATGGTTAGCTATTTTCTAGGGATAAAATTAATTAATTATCTTTTAAAATTTAAATTTTTAAATTAATTACTAAAATTTCAAAAACTGTTGTCTGGATATTGATTTGGATAACTATCATTTTCAAAAATAAAGTCAAAAAGGGTAACCTAATATGGAGTTACGTTATTTTTTATTTTGTTTTGTATTATTTTTTGTAACCGTTTTTAAATAAAAAAATTTAGTGTTAACAGTTTTTATTTTTATTTTTAGATTTTAAATTAATTTTAATAATTCATACATTTTACATATTTTTTTAAAAGAATTGTAGATTATTTTTTTAATAAATTGAAAACGTGGGATATATATATATAGAGAGAAAAAATTAAATTGATCATTAGTTTCAAAATGCATTTTTGATAGCCGTAACTTTAACATTATTCAAATATATGTTACATATGTTGAATCATTTTTTATATTTTATTTTTTTGGTCAATAATGGAGCATGAGGCTCCTTTTATTTAATTCAAAATAACTAAATAAGTATCTAAAAATAAGGTTAAAGAGCCCAAACAATGCTTTATATGACAAAACATATATCAAAAACACACTAATTTAACTTGAAGTTTTGTTCTATGTAACATATTAAAGACAACACACACAATTTTGATGTCAATCGATTTGTTGTTTCAAGGCAAACTAAATTTGGTCCTCATAATTATAATTGAGAGCAAAGGATGACCTTGTTTGTATATTCAAAACAAAGAAGAGGATAGACTAAGAAAGTAAGAATCCCACAACATCAAATATTTTACATATATCCAATGTTTTTACTTATAATGAAGGCATGTAAATTTATGTGGAGACCCACGTCTTATATTTGAAATTATTTCTATTTATCAATTGCAACAAAAAGATTGTTACTGTATATTTAAATTTATCACTGGAAAAATAATGTTCACAAAATAAACTTAAAAAAAAATAGCAAATCAGTCATAATATAATCAAATAAAGAACTTTAAAAATAACAGATGAAAGAATAACTTTTTAAAAATTATTTGCTACCTTCTTATCTTGAAGAATCAATTAAATAAAAAATAAGATGTGTAAATATTTACAATGTGATACGTTCTATCATTATATAACTTCAATTTTAGAACTCCATTGCTTATCATTGAAGAGTTTATGTTGAGTAAGCATATTTTACCGGAAGGAGTGTGCATTTGTAAAATAAACTACCTAAAAATTTGAGTATATTAATAAAATGGTATAAACTTTTTGAGTATTGTATTGAATTCCAATTCCCCCAAAAAAGAAAAACAACATATATCTGCACAAATCACAATGAATGTACCGCCGGAGGAGTGAACTTTTGATTTGTTGCTTGACTTTTTAAAATGAATCTGTGTATTCCTCCGCTCCTTTTAAAAATATATAGTATTGTCCAAAAAAAACAATTGTGATTCATTATCTGCTGAAAGTAAAAACTATAAAAAGTAACTGTTTGGAGGTTTCTTTACCATTATCCGTAAAAAACTGTAAGAATTTAAATGATTTTTTTAAAAAAAATTGAAAAACATAAATATAATAACAGTGATGATAATAATAATAATAATAATAATAATAATAATAATAATAATAATAATAATATTATTATTATTATTATTATTATTATCATCATCATCATT